TTCCTGCTATTGGGAAATCGCTTCTGGATATTTCTTTCCTCTCCTCTCTCGTACTTCAGAGCATAAGAAACATCACCAGGATGATAGCTCTCTGAGGGCTGTGTCTCTGTAAAGGGTTTTCATGTCTCTCCTTGCCCGAGAGGCGTATCTGCATGCCTCACTGGTTTTGGTGCAGTGGCCTCACGATGCTCTTGCAAGGAGAGGAAGGTACGCTCATAACTGTTCATCTCGCACCTCACGTCCCTCCTGCCACCCTGCAGCACACAGCCCATAGAAATACAGTTTCTCTTTGCAAGGAGAAATGAAAGTTTTGCTGGACCCAAGAGGCAGTGATTCCCTCCCTGGCATTCCCAGCGAGCTCGCCTGCCTGCCGTAGGTATGGGTGCATAACCCCAAGGGCAAGGATTTATGAGTTGTCTTCACTGGAGCAAGATTTGGTTCATCCTACCGGGTTTTTTTTGTACCTGGAGAGACCTGCCACCTCACGTTCATAGAGGATTTGAGGCCGGAGAAATGCCCTTCATCACTGGGCAGCACGCCTACACTTCTATTGCTCTTCAAGGCTCTTTTGAGGCTGTGAAGCTTGTTTTGACCCTCTGCAGACAGGTGAATCCCACCCAGAGTATCTTGTGTTGCCACAGATCATATTAAGCTTCCTAGGTGAAAAAATACAAGTTGAGAGAAGGATTCAGGGTTTATTTCCCCACAATTTATCCTTTTTCAACCAACATTTTCAACTACTGGTATTGCTCTGGGTGAATTTCCCTTCCCCACGCATATGCACTTTGAGCTGGCCATGCTTCCTATTTCCAGTAATTTAAGAAAAGGTTTCTGCCCAAGTAACACAAACAGTAAGTCTTTATAAATTTTTTTTGGTAAAGATGTTCTCAGGTTTCCTGTTCTGTTTTTCCAGAGATCACCAGATAAATAGGCCTCAGGAAAGATAAACCAGAGAAGGCAACTACAAATACTCTAGAAATGCTGAGAATAAGTGTCAAGACTTAATGCATAGCTAATGGCCTAATCTACAGTTTCATCACAAGACACCTATCTCCTTGCTTGCTTTCACTGTAGTCTACCTGGAATATCTGTCCATTTAAATTTTATTTATCCTACCCAAGAAAATCCATTTCCTATTCATAACCTATTCCTCCCCAGTTTTTAAATTAACCTTTATTTTTTAAAGATGGCTTGTCAGTGACTGAGCACTACCTGTGTTGTAGTCTAAAACTGAGCCAGAAGGAGCCTTTAGATAAAAATGCACCGCCTATGCCATCTGTCATTGATGGTGCATTATTGCTGAATTGGCCCCTAGCTTTCAGCAGGGCATAGCTGGGAACAGAGTTAATCTCCATCATACTTCGGCTCCTGCAGACATTTTCAGACAGGCTTCCCACTCAGGGAGGAAGAGGAAGATCTGCCTGGTGTCAGTCACACTGGCTGTTTTCCCATCAATGCATGTGCTGCCACATTTAGCCCCTAGGTCAACTGATTCACGGGGTGAGATTTTAAATATCAGGCACTGAAATTCAGGAAAGTCCAAGTTCTGGCGCAGAAGACCTTGTGGGAGGACACCGAGATGATTTGGGGCCGCCAACATCTTGGCCAAGTCTGGAGAATACAGCTCATCCCTGCGTCCTTGGGGCCAGGGCAGCATGGCCATGGCTTGGCTCACAGCTTGTAAAGGTGGCTTAAAACTGCTACCCTCTTCCCTTTGTCTTGTCTGTGCCAAAGGGCAGGGATGGGGAGGTAACTGACCCTGCCCAAAAAGACTATTGCTAGAAGAGGATTGCTGAGTTGTGCCCAGGACACTTTCTTACTTACAGCCTGATCTGGGATGCTAAGGAGCAGGCTTGGGCACTGACCCATCAAGAGGCATCCAGTGATGCACAGGAACCGAGTCCAGTGATTGTAGCTCATTCTCCATGGCTGCCCCCACGCCAGGCACTGAGTTTAGGTCCCCACTTCTCAGAACCGAGTTTAGGTCCCCACTTCTCAGAACCGTGTCTTTTGCCCTAGAGGCTGAAAACTAAATGCCGGTTTGGGGGATTTTTTTTTTTTACTCTGTTTCCCTTGTCAATGCCAGTAAAAAGAAGCTAAATCTGACTGAGAGCGTGTGGCTGGTTAGCTGTCTGCACTGCATGCCCCAGGCAGGACAAGGCTCGTATCTGATGGAGAGAAGCTGCATCTGCAAGTCATTGCTTCCCTCGGTTGCCTTGCTGGGATCTGTTTTCAGTTGCTGCTGAGACAAACTCACCAGTCAAAATATTGACGCTTTTCAAGTCCAAGTCAGCAAGTTTCCCGTAAGCAGTGTTTTACATTGCATTTGCATGAGTTGCTTTTTTGGTTGTCTTGAAACCTCCATAAACAGAGTTCTGTCATTAATTTTACTCTTCTATTCAATGCTGGTAATTTGTACATTGTGCCTGCCCAGCACAAACCAAGGAGTGATGATGCTGGTGCTGTGCTGCAGGACATTCAAAGTGCAGGCAAATCCATTGTTTCGCGCTGAGATGAACCAAATGTTGAGCACTGATCCTTTGCTAAATTGGGATACATGCTGGGTAATCTTCCTTCTTCGGTAACAAATATGACTTCTAGGGCATTGTGAGTTGGGCCTGTTTGAGCGCTGATATCGCTGTAGGAAAGTCATTCTTTAAAGGTGCTTTTTTACTCATGCTCTGGCTGAGTTTGCGAAAGGTTGTTTGTGCAGCCTTCAGCGATACAGTACCCACCCCTGGTGAAACATTAAACCTTTGGTCTTCCCCCTCTTTTGCCAGCAGTAGAGCCTGGCAGCCCTCACCAAATCCCGGGGCTCTGTGGTGACATGTGTTGAATAAAAAGGTGAGTCTGGAGATCTTACAGTTCCCTCTCCCTGGGCTTGGTTGGAAACCTGGGAGCCCTGACAAGCACTCCATATCCAAGCGAGCAAACATCTGTGTGTGTCCCTGTATTGATGTGTCTGTGTCAGCCTTCATGGCGAGTCAAGCCTCCATTTCTGAACAGAGGTGTTACTAAATTAGAGGGACTGGCTGACATGGTCAATGATGGAGCCTCAGGCTGGAGGGCCTGCATGAAATGTGAGAGCTGGATGAACCAAAACTGCAATGTTTTCAACAAGTTGAAAGTGGCTACAATGTGCCCCAAGCCTGGGGCACAATATCCATCTGCGTCTGCTGGCTGGGAACCAACTGGACACATAGCATCTGTAGCGTGAGGACCATGGGTGATGGTGATGCTGTGTGAGCCAATGGTGCAGGCTCATCAGCATGCAAACCATGCAATGGACCATTTGAGGAGGAGCATGGCCAGGATGTCGAGGCAAGTTGTTATTCCCCTTTGCTTGGTGCTGGTGAGGCTGATCCAGTGTTGGGCCTCCCAGTTCAAGAGGGTTGGGGACAAACTGGATTGGACCCAGGGGAGGGCTACCAAGAAGGTCAGGGGCCTAGAGTACATCATCTTTGAAAGAGGTGGAGGGAATTGGGCTTTTTCAGCCTGGCAAAGAGATCTAACAGCCACGTGCAACTACTTGAAGGGCAGCTCCAGAGATGATGCAGCCAGACTCTTCTTAGTCGTGGCAGCTGATACCATGAGGGCCAACAGCCACAAGCCACAGCTTGAGAAATTCAGATTGGACATTAGGAAAAACTTCTTTACCAGATATTCAGTGAGGGGCAAATCTCTTTTCTTGGAGATTTTCAAAGCTTGTCTAGAAAAAGACACAGCTGAGCTGATGTGTTCAAGCAGGAGGATGGATGAGATCTCCGGAGGTCCATTCCTACCAAAAGTCCTGTGATTCTACAAAATCAGGGCATTGGCATCTCTGCTTTCTTTTTCTCTTTAAAATAAAGATAATGCTCAACCAGACTTCCAGGCTTCAACAAGTAAGAAAACAAACAAATAAAACCCCAAGCAAACATGCAAGCAGGCAAACAAAACCCTAAGTAAACAAGCAAGCAAACAAACAAAACCCCCAAAGGACAAATGAGTCTCTTTTATTTAATCACCCGGTTTGCAGTCAGCCTCATGATTTGTGTGAATTTAATACTCTTTTTTTTTTTTTTTTAAAATGTTTTTGGCATTGGCTGGTAATTTGTAGTCTGAGTGGAGTCACATGTGAACATTTGCAAGCTCAGTCTCTATAAATTTGCAGCACCTCATGAAGGAAGGAAAATGGCTCAGCTAGAAGGTGTTGATGAGAGCAACTCTAACTGCATGTAAGACCTATGCTTATTCCAGGATCTGTGTAAATCTACTGCAAGAAGCATGAGGACTTGGAGATAGCTGTTCTGCTGTAAGCTTCACGTGCAAGCTCTAAAAATAAAATCAAAGTGCCTTTCATGAAGAATTAAAACAGTTATCTCTTCTGAGCCACCAGAGGCAATAAAAGTGAAAGAAGTGAAACAGTTAATGAGTTGAAGAGTGTGTCATGTGCTCTTGTTTGGGGCAATGTCCACTTTCATCCTGCCAGGACTCTCAAGCTGGTCTTTGTTGTGATGGTACTTGAAGCAATGAGCCCACCTGGGACAAGGCTGAGGAATGAGATCTGTGGTTTGATGTGTGGTTATCCTTGATCCTGCCTGGCAAGTAAGCAAAGGGGAGAAAAAAACCAAAGAAAGAAAGAAAAAATAAATCCCTGTCATGCTGACTCAGCACCTTTCACTCTGTAAGCTTTGAACTGTACACACAGTTTCTGCACCTTACCTATGCTCCATGTTCCCAGCTAGAAAGCACCTTTGTGTCATTTTTCAGCCTGCAGTAGGTCTTTCCATGAGCGCTATGAATGCAAAAGCCAGCTCTGGAGGTGAGGAAGAAGCCTTGGGAATGAGGAGTGAGACCCTGGGGGAGAGCAGCCGCTGGGGAGAGGTCAAGAGGGGACAAGTGATGATTGTTGCCTACCTGATTGCAACCCTAGAGCTGACCTTCCTCTTCATGCAGATGGGAGTCGTGCCCGTGAGTATGGTTTGTTCTGCTTCACAGCATGTCTTGCCTTCAATGCCAGACTATGTAGTTTTGCAGCAAAGGCAGAAGAGAGTTTCTAGCAGGAGGGAGGAAAGTGCATTCCTACGCAGCAGGCGAGCTGTGACTGTGTTCAGGGTATGCCCAGGCAGTAAAAGCTGGTTTATCATTTGTACTGCAGTAGCACCTAGAGCCCTTTCCTGGCCTGATGGCCCTGGGTGAAACTGATGTAGTTTGTGTCTTTTTGCTTGCACTGGGGGAGTGACCCAACAAGCAGGCAGCAGAAATCAGAGGTTTCAGATCAGAGGTGGATTTTTCTGAGGGTGTAATAAACCAGCTGTGAGTGGGAATCATTGCTTCTCACTTAGTGGTCTCTTCTGTCTGGTTTCACAGAATCATAGAATAATTTCGGTTGCAAAAGACCCTTAAGATCGAGTCCAACCATAAATCAAGCACTGCCAAGTCTACCACCAAACCATGTCCTTAAGCACATCTACATGGCTTTTAAATACCTCCAGGGATGGTGATTCAACTACTTCCCTGGGCAGCCTGTTCCAGTGCTTGACAACCCTTTTGGTGAAGAAACTTTTCCTAATATCCAATCTAAACCTCCCCTGGAGCAACTTGAGGCCATTTCCTCTTGTCCTATTGCTTGTTACTTAGGAGAAGAGACTGACACCCACCTCGCTACAACCTCCTTTCAGGTAGTTGTAGAGAGCGATAAGGTCACACCTCAGCCTCCTCTTCTCTAGGCTAAACAAGCCCAGTTCCCTCAGCCGCTCCTCATAGGGCTTGTGCTCTAGACCCTTCACCAGCTTTGTTTTCCTTCTTTGGACACACTCTAGCACCTCAATGTCTTTCTTGTAGTGAGGGGCCCAAAACTGGACACAGTATTTGAGGTGCAGCCTCACCAGTGCTGCATACAAAGGGATGACCACTTCCCTAGTCCTGCTGGCCATACTATTTCTGATACAAGGTAGGATGCTATCTGCCTTATTGGCCACCTGGGCACACAGCTGGCTCATATTCAGCTGGTTGTCAACCAACACCCCCAGGTCCTTTTCTGCCAGGCAGCTCTTGTGAGCTCCTGGATCTATGACATACCTGTCCACCCCTGTCTCTGGTGAGCCCATGCCTTCTGGGAGGCATCACCACTGGTTTTGTGCCTCCAGAGGCAAACTGCTCCCTCCTTCTGGGACTAAACCAGCCCACAGTGCCCTGAGCCTGCAGGCTGAGAGAGAGTTTATTTATGGGAGATAGGTGTAGTCAATCACTAATTGCTTACAGGGGGTTGGGTATGTGGGTGCAGAACACATACCAGGGAAGTGGGCAAGATTGGGGCACCTCCACATCTTCTGAGACCTGAACTTGGCTGAGAGTTTTAAACAACTCTTAGCAAATGGCACAAAACAAAAACATGAATCAGAAATAGCTGTCCCTTGAGCGTACAATTTTTAAATAAAAAAACCCAAAGGATTGTGGGTCTTCAAGGTGTGCATCTGTGGCTTTTTGCAAATTCAGGTTGTGGGCGTGCCAACCAGCTTATAAGTAAAGCCAATATTTTGCCCATTTTGTGCTTGCATTGATTCTGGCTTGTTCAATTAAACCGCAGGTTCAAGACCTTATTGCAGTCATCTCCTGGGTGGTTCTTGGGCTGCCCCAGGCATGGGGTCTGGAGGCAGGAAGGCTACTTAAAATCTACCTCATCCCCCTTAGCAGTAGCTGAATACATTCAGCTGTGTTGGACTGCAAAGGTAAAGGGTGGTTCAGATTTGTCACCTGGTGCAAAATTGATTGTTTTGATTACATCCAGCTGATCTTCATTAGCAGATGGTGTGAGATGGAGGCTTTTGGTCTTTATTAAGCAGCCTGTGTCTGACTTATTGAAGATTTTTATCTGTAGGTATGGGGAACTGAGGGATGTGCTTGGCTAGAGCTATAGTTCTCTCCACACAGACATTAAGCTCTTTATTCAGAAATATAGTATACTTTGTTTCTGCTGACCTGTTGGGTGGGGTTTTTTTCTTTTTTTTTTTTTTTTTTAAGTACTTGGCAAAGAGCCTAGGCTTGGATTCAGTGGGGTTTGGCTACCTCCAGACAACCTTTGGTGTTCTCCAGCTTGTAGGAGGTCCCATTTTTGGAAGGTAAGTGAGAACAATTCTCATGACCCTTTTCATAGCTGAAAAAGGCCAGGCATCTTTATACTTTAATAAAAAAAGCTATTTAGTTCTAGTCTGTGGTCCTGTTGAAATGTTTGAAGATTTCATAAATGGACAAGGGGAAAATAAATACTATAATTAGAAATACCGCAATGTAGAAGCAGCCTTTATATTAACCTAGCTAGGCTTTAATGACACACATTTAAGCGTAACAATATACTGGGAACAGGCTTAAACCATCAGAGTCCTCAGAGCCTGGGTCCTAATGGCTTAATCCTGAAAACGTTTTATAGTGATGTGTAACCTTAGAAATGTCTTGTGACTGGGAAACCTAAAAAAAAAGGGTATTTATTGATGTTAAGTAGAGCTGTCAATGAAAATAATTGAGGGCTGCGTTACTTCTACAGCTGAATCTCACTGTATCTACATCAGTGTTTAATACAAATGTGGACTTGCATCAATCTTTAAGATCTGATGCATCTATAAGCTTGTCTGTCAAGAGAAGAGTGGGAAAAGGCTGAGGTTTTCTGCCTCTCTACCCCATGGGACACATGCTCTTGTTCCTAATGAAATGTAAGCAGCCAAAAAAAATTTGAATGGTGGGGGAATGCATTCCTAAAAAGCAGAAAAAATTTGAAAGAACAGTGTAATCCAGTGATAGGAAACTAAAATGAGGCTGTGAAAATCTAGCTTTTCTTCTTAGTCCTGCTACTATTAACAAAGTAATAAATGGATACGAAGCTGGTGTGTGCCTCAGTTTTCCTGCAGGGGATTTACCATTCTGGTTGATGTAGATTGTGAGCTCTACAGGATCCTTTGGTACGTGGTGTGTAGCGCTCAAGGATCTGATATCTAAAAGCCCTTGGACATTACCATAATACACATCTGAAAATCAATAACAGTAACATTAAATTCTCCTGTAGAGCTTGGAAGAAAATGCATTCTTAAGAATGGAGGTAGTGCAAAGGGCCCAATTTGAATGCTTTTTCTATTAATATACAAAACTAGAGTAATATTTAGGTTCTGGATCTGGTGCCATCTGAAATCTGGTTTTCCTCTGTGCATGTCATTCACTGATCTCCAGAAGAGATGCTGAAGGAAAAGAAAACAGCAAACCAGAATCCATCTGGGTCTGGACTCCCACTGGTGTAGATAGGACTGAAGGTGTATATTGCCACACTGAAGTCAAAATTTGCAATGTAGGCTTGAGATAAAAAGGCTTCTCCTAGATGCAAGGCTGCTTTGACCTCGTTGTGAAGGCAGATAAAGAGAACATGGGAAGGAAGGGCATAAGAGAGAGAAAAATGTGCAGTTTACATCAATTTTCCTTGTTGTTCTTGCCTGATGCTGCTAAAGAGCCATGAGAAGATGAAGCACTGAATTTACTCTTAAGGTACAAAACCAAAAAAGCCTTGGATTATCTAGTTTATCATGGTCTTTAGGTTGCAAACAGCTAATAAACTTCACTGGCTTTCATGTAAACAGAAAAGCTTTGACCTGTACCTCTTCCTCAACACAAACCACTTTAATTACTTATGCTTAGCTTTGTAGACCAGTCTTGGCATTTTTGGGGGGTGTTTCTTTTAGTGTAAGCATAACTAATTGCTATGCAAGCTAACATTCATCTGCTAACTGTAATATGCAACTTCAACAAAAAGAAGGAAGGAGAAATTGGAGTGAAAAACTTTATCTGAGGCCTATTTTATGGTCATCTTAGTCCAAATTGCTCAGAACCCTTTCTGTGGTACTCTTGGACTTTGTCCAACTTATCGTTTTAAAGTACCTTGGAGTTGAATAAAATCTGAACTTTGGTTTGAAGATCTGGCCGTTTTGGTTTTTTCCCTCAAATAGAAGCAAATTTGAGTCACTACTGTGAAGTCTTCATTGAACCTAAATAGAAAGCTATGTATTTATTTTCTTTAAGTGGTGCTGAATGAGAAATGTTGCTTTGAACATCCTCTGGAAAGATACTGGAATAACTTCTATTGCCATTGAACCTGAACTAAAAAATTAGCTGGCCTGGTTCCCTGGTCTGAACCAACTCTAAGAGCCACAAAGTAGAACTTGAGGGCACTATGTGTTCTGAAGTGATAATAAGTTACTCAGCTGACCTGCCATAACTGCTTCTGCCTGTGGCTGGTCTTTAGCAGCTCTGAGATTTATTCATCACATTTATTCATTGAAATGCCTTGTGCTTACAAGGTTTGGAGATGGGCTGAGTGGTAGCAGCTGTCTGTGCATTCCCCTGGTACACTGAAGTGTCAGTGCCCATGTTCCCAGGTGGGCAGCTGGTACTTCAGCACTGGTCCTTGCACTCCTCCTCCAGGCAAGGCTTCCAGTTTTGGGAGGAGGGTGGGGGGGTGGGGAGGGAAGGCTGGGGGTTTTTTGCAAGGCAAAGTTTTGTATTGCTAGTAGCCAGCAATGAAGAGAGGTTACCCAGTGAGCTGAGCTCCTCTGAGTATCTAGTCCTCTTTTGGGAACAGAGCACTTCTGAGAATCTGATCAGTGCTTCCTGTGGCGGATAAATTAGACTGAGATGGCTGTGTAGCTCCATCCATGCATCATGCTTGTAATGACCTGCACAATCCCACTTCTGACAACCTTGTACCATTTCTGTACCAGGTTTGCAGATCAATTTGGCATCCGAGCCGCCTTAATTATCTCCTGTTTGTCTGGAAGCGCCTTGATGTCCATCTCCACCAGCATCCCCCTCCTATTCCTCTCCAGGCTGCCAGCAGTGTTCATGCAAGGGCTACCAGGTAAGGTTGGTCAGGGCCGAGTGACTTTCCAAATGCTTTTATTGTCAGATTCCTCTCTTCTTGCTCATGTTACTGGAAGTCAACAGGCTCAACAGCATGGAGGAAGGCAGGAGGGACATTTGATGGTTATTGGGGTGAAATAGTGAGAACATGAAGCAGCAGGTATATTGGTTATGGAAAGCAGGGCTGATAGCCTGTAGTCCCAGGTCCGTTCTCCTGTATGATCTTGAACAAATTGCTTGGACTTCACCATTCAGATACAGGCGATGAATACTTGCTGCCAGCAAGTATTCATCCAAACTCCTCTGTTGCCTTCTTGTTACCAGGGTATTTTATAGGAGAGCTTTTCCCTTTCTCCTGGTAAAATGAGCATATTAGTCAAAATGAAATGTGGTTACAGAAATACCTTCCATTACTCACCAAGCTGTTCTGCTTTAGTTGGCATTTCCTAGATGTTTCTAGTAAAAAAAGAAAACCAAACCCCATACAGCAACCTTTAGCTACCAGAAGTCTGTGTAACTCATGCAAGAGGCCTCAAGTTGATAGGGTGTTAAGTCTCTTCTTGCCACTTGTGAAGTGGTTTGTTTGAGTGGTTTGTTTCCTACAACTGATGGGCTGAACCAATTCCTCTTAAAGGTGTGCATGATCATTTGCCCCGGGGTTGCAAGGACTGGTTTGTGGCAGGTGCTGTTTCTGTGGCCTAAAAATTTATACCCACTGCTCAGATCCTGTGACAAGCTTTTTTCAAGGGATTTGTTTCCCTGCAGGTGCTCAGAAGGTTATTACAGACTTGACTACTCCTTCCCAACGTGCTGATGCTTTGGGGAAGCTGGGTCTTTGCTTTGGAATAGGCATCATCATCGGCTCTGCCCTGGGAGGTGTCCTCTCCACCAAATTTGGGTGAGTGGTCCACTTGTTCTGTGTTGGCCTTGTTGCAGCCATTGAGGGAGCTGCTAAGGGGCATTTTGCTTCCCTCCCAGCTTTTGATGAAACCTTACTGCTGGTGGCAGTAGAGGATCGTACCAGAACTCAAAGTCTTGCTTTCTGTACAGCTACAAAGAACTACTCCCACTGTTTTTAAGGGGACCTTGTTGAAAATCTCATCTTCTGTCTACTTAAATTGATTTAAAAACAAGTTGAAGTGAGAAATAGAGTCTGTCTCCCAGTTGTCTTCTCTTTGGAGCTGAGTGTGCTGAAAAGCAGCCCATATTGCATGACTTGCTTTTAAGAAATGGTGTTTAACAACTGAGAAATGGAAATTGTAAGCAGTGTGAAAGTCGTGGGGAGATTGGTGTGCTTGGGGGATGCTCAAGATAGAGCAAGACCTTGGGAAAGGGGAAAGCAAGCTTGAGACAGTGGGGGGGAGGAAAGTGAAGAGGTCTAGCCCTGTCACAGCAAGATGAGGCACATGCCTGCCACTTCCCTGTTTGCTTTCCACAGCCTGGCACATTGTAGCATGCTGCCACCTTCTTTTATGTGCTGCAATAGGAAAGAAATGCCTGATTTTACTGTATTTACTGGTCTCTGTTCATTATTAGTAAAGGAAGCTCAAAAGGTGTGGTGTGTCAGAGCTCTGGAGGCAGGGAAGTGCACCTGGCTGTAATCTTCCTGGAAGATTCCCCAGCATTTATCTGGTGTTGGTGGGGAAAAAAACCCAACAAACCCTTGTGAACTTTTAAGTGTTTATTTTGCTCTACTTCTTTTATTACGGACACTTGCTTCTGCAGATTCAGCTTAGTATGGAAATAACTTTTTTGAACCTTTGTGAGCATTATAGCTGTTATACAGCATAGGACAGAGGCTTAAAATCATTAGCGGAAGCTCTGGCTTTCAGGAATTGGGCTTTTCCTAGAAGGGATCGGTGTCACTGGCAAGTGTCAGTGTCTGCTGGGTATCACTGTCAGCCTGTCCGCCAGTGCTGCTGGCAGCTGCCTCTTGCTGTCACAGTGACCCAGGGCTGCCTTACCAGTGTGTGTTCCACCTCCCTTCACTTGTACAGCAAGGCTATCTCATTAAAAATCAATTTGCATGAACTTCAGGCAGCTGAGTCATGTCATTGATTTTTTTTTTTTTTTTTTTTCCCCCCTTTTCGTGGCACCATAAGCAGTGTGGACTGTGTATGGTGCCATGTCACCTGGCCATTTTGCATAGGGCACGCAGTTATGGCATTGGGCATCATGCGTTGGCCTCAGAACCCTGTTGTGCATCCACATGCATTCAAGTGCTGTGGTGATGCCACTTTGCATCTCAAATCTTTGCAAATGTTAATTGAGTAGAAGACTTTAGCCTTACTGCCTTAGGGAGTAGCCCCTGAAAACTCTGTTTGCTGCTGTACCTTGGCAGTATTGGGCCAAATTAGTTGCTGCAGACAATCTCAGGAGTTTTCTTCCTCTCGCTAGAACCCTGAAAAGGTTTTCCTTAATTCTTTTGTGGTTGATGCCTGTTGTGTGTTGGCCAATTGACACAAGGCTGGCTAGGAGGATTCATTTTGTAATTCTTACATGGTTATACAAAATGAAAACTGGGGATGTACATAATATTAACTAAATCAGAATTTTAAAGTATTTATTTATGTTTGATGGTTGAGTGGGGCTTTAATAAGTATTATTTTTAGTAAAATACAGTGATTGTATCCCTTCTGTGTGTTAACTGAAAATAAAGGTTACCTCAGTTGTCATCTTAATTTTTGGTTATGTGCCCATATTTAAACATCAATGTTCAAGTAGCATGGTTATCTAGCAAAAATTTATGGGGTTTCACTTTCCAGTGTATGCATCAGTCACTGGTTTATAGACAAATCAGCAATGGGAGAGAATACCCTGTTTGAGTGAGTGAGTGAGTTAGAGGCACCTGAATGCAGCCTGGCTTTTGGATGTCAGGGCTTGGTGCTGTCAGACCACAGGATGCTTCCAGACTCCCCAAAACTCTCCCGTTTTGTGCCTGCAACATAACGCTGAGAAAAGTCAACGTTGCCCATCATTATGGGAAAGTAAGGGACCTGCACCTGAAAAACTACATAGCTTTTGACTTTCTCATCGCAGGGGGTTGTTTCCCTTGCATCCGGTGGAGGGCAGCTTTGCCTTGCAGTTTGCATGCTGCTGCTGGAGCATCCTATCCCAGCGGTTTTGGGACTGCTCCTGCCATCCCATAGCAGGTCTGGGGCAAGCAGCCTGTCTGCCGGCAGCATTGGGTTTTCTCCACGAGTATCTGTGCATCCCCCTGGAAGGATGGTGGGAATTCCCATTAACAAGGGACAAACCCCAGCGTGCTGGCAGGGCAATTCTGACTGCCCTGATGTGCAGAGAGTTGATTTGATTTTATAAAGAGCAGTTCCAGGCTGAAGGACTCCACAGGGAGGCCACTCTGGGCATCTGGTAGCCACCTTCGCTGCAGCCAAATCCCACCTCTGCTCTGACACGGTGCTTAGTTCCTGTGCCAGATTTCTGTGCAAAGATTAGAGGAGCAATCTACTGATTTCTAGTGTTTTGGCTGATATTGGTGGTGAGAGGGAATTCAGCCCTGTGAGCAGATGAAGACAGCTCTGTGCTATGAAACAGCCCCCAGAACATTCCCAGCGCCTCTGGCTGTGTCTGCAACAGTGACCTGGAGGGAAAGGAGTGGGTGTCGCATTATGGACGTACCCGAGGTTCCTTGGCCTTGTTGCTGTATCCCACAGATTGGCTGTTAATCATCCCTCCCCGTTTCCCACATTTGTACAGGAAGGCTCCAGCTGTACTTGGAGCTGTGTAATCACTTCCATTTTTTTTCATAGACAAATGACCCAACCTCCTTCCTTTGAAAATAGCCATTTCTGCCATGTCATGGAGGAGCAAAGCTGAGGATTTCTGTCCACTCTGCATTCTTCACTCTCCTTCACCACAAAGCTGGCCAGCGTTCCCAGTCTGTTGTTGACAGCATTATTCATATGTTAGCAGTGGTTTGTACACAAGAGAGGGGGTAAAAATCAGTCTCAGTTCCTTCTCAGCTGATGTAATTTTGGTATTATTCCACTGTATTGTATTTACCATTGATGTACTTGACCTAAAGAGCCGGTCTGTTGTTGTTTTTACTGTTGGAATAATATTTGTCAACCCTTATTTATTAAGGGAACCCTAGGGAAGTTAAATGGCTTGTTCTGATTTGCATAAGGTTTTTTGGATGTCAGATCCAGACTGCTCCTAAGCTGTAGCTACCAGCTCCAGCCCTTCTTCCTCTTTCTGAAGTACTACACTTTTTTCCCCATGTTTTCCAAAACTTCAGATAAAACTGTAGTAAAGGAGTTGTGACTTTTACTCAGATCTGGACATGTTTCATCTGTGAAATATGGCTTTGCCTTTTGCAAATCAAGGAGCTGCTTGCCAGCTGGCTTCACCCTACCAAATTTAATTGCTGGGGACCTTGCTTTTAATATATAGCCCTGTCCACTCACCTCTGTACAAACAGTGTGTACAGCTGTGAGGAATGTGTTTTCTATGGGCAGGGTGATGGTCAGGCAAATTTACACCACCTGAGGATCAGGTATAAGTCAATTTATCAACACAAGCAGTTGTAATCTTAAGCATTTGGAAAGTGTTTTCATGTTTGTATGCTTTTTTTTTTTAATTGGTGTTTTCTGGTCATTGTTCAGTTAGGTCAGGATTGTGGATATAAAATACCTAGCTTGAAAATAACTTCTGTAGTTCAGCCAAGGTCTCCAGGTTCTTGGAGTGTCTGCAAATTCCATCACAGCTCATCCACAAAAGGTGACTAAGAAAAGGAGCTTTGTTTGCTCTCTGCACATGTTCCCCCCTCCCTGTATGTGTACTGGAAACCTGTTAGGGGACCGCAGGCTGCAGGTGAGTGTGTACCCCTGGACAGAAGTGATATGATATTTGTAGTAGGCTTTTGTGGCAGTGCTGTGTGTGAAGGGTGAAAGAAGGCGGCTGGATTAGTCTTCAAAAGTGGAAAGCTGAGCCTAGGTAGCCAATTACAGAGATTTCATCCTTTCTTCTGGGACTATGATTAATTGCATTTGGCTTCTTTCTTCTTTCTTTCTAACAAGGACATACAGAAGCTTTGCTGCATGACCCAAGATTTGCTTGCTTTCTATGGACAGGAGAGGTTTCTTCATTTTAGTGACTCAGCTGTAGGCTTAAATCTCTTGGAGCAATTATTCTTTTGAACTTGGGATTTTCCTGGCCAAACCTCTTTGGTCTCTTATTTAATATTATTACAGGAGGCTTTGGGGATAGGTTTTTTTTCCTGGCTGTGCTATTATCCTCCTTCCTCAAGGGGAAAAGAAGGAGTTTGTTCACCCGGAGTAAGGAATTGCATTTCTTTTCAATAACCCATTTGAACAATGTCCTCTGGCAGGGAATTTCTCATCGCTTCACAGTAGAGTGGAAAGACTGTGGGTGTTGAAAGGGCTGAAGGTTGGGAGCTGGGAAGGCGGGTGCAAACATGGCAAAGGGTGAGAGGGTTGCTCCCCGTTTCGGGACAAAGCAGGGCATTCTGCTGCCCAGAGCTGCTCCTGCTCCCTTCCAGTAGAAACCATGGTATTTCTCTGCCTGGGATGATGTCAATTAGCCAAGCAGCACGGATTGCTTCTTGATGCTTGTACAGGCGTTGCTTTGTCCTTTGTATCAAGGGACTCTGGGGAGAGGGACGTGGTGTCTGCAGCTTGTGGATGACTTGCTGGCAAGCAATGTGGCCTGTCACTGTCGGTCAAGCTCTGTGGTGCCTTAGGAGATGTGGGGAGGGAATAGCGAATGGGCTGTTTGTAAAGGAGGTGATGGTTTGGGGAAGGCATGGAAGACCTCAGTTGTGGCCTTCTGTGAAAAAATAAACCAAAACAGGATCCAGAGATTCTTTTTCTCATTTACTCTGCATGACAACTATCTTAGTTTTGGAAGCCATGGTCA